TCTCCATCTTCGCTCCCATGCCAGTACATTCTTCTCGCTCTGTTCTGATGGGTGGGGTGCATACTGACTAGGTGCAAGGAATAGATAATCCGAACTAGTTGCTACTCTTCGTTTAGCCCATGCTGTGATACTATCAGCCACCCACCTGCGAGGCGTAGGCCTATTTATAGTTGGCGTTAATCAAAAACAGACGTTTGCGTAGGTCAGGGGTCGAAATTTGCGGTATCCCGATATCCGCGGGATAGTAGATTCTTGTGTTGGATACCAGATTTCAATGCTTGGTATCCCGCCGGGATAGTAAAAAAAATCGTCAAAATCCGGATAGTGGTTGATGAGCATAAGCGTGGCCGATGTTGATCATAAATGTGATGTGTATACATTGTATCAAGCGAACCAGACAATGCGTCTGCAGTGTACTTGTCTGTGCATATCTGTGAATCTGTTTTCATGTTTTTATATAATAATTGCATTACATATTAATAATTTTCAGATGCTATTATTGCAATTTCCAAGATTTGCGATACCAACATCTTGTTGAAATTACTATCCAAAAAATGGGCCTCCGCCGCCCCCCCCCCCGCCGCCCCCACCGATCCAGACTCATTTGCGGGGATTCACCAGACTCCTTCACTTACCTCGGCTATTCCCGAATCGCCGATACCCATAATAAACCATCTATCTTTCCAGACCCGGCACTCCTGATCCCCCCCCCCCCGACGTCCCGAATATCGTGACCGTACGTCGAGCGGTTAAGATTTGTGCCCAACTGTTGGCTGACGGACGCACGGACACACGGACACACGGACACACGGACACACGGACACACGAACAGACGCTCATGCGATTCTACAAGATACATCTGACTTCGTCAGATGGGCTAAAAATGCTGACTTTCATTCATAATTGTACCTGTTTTATGAGTTTTTGACAGCACAGTTTTCTTTTCTTCAATCATAATAAAGAATTGAAATTCATTGAAATTTATGAAAATGGGGTTCACATTGTGAAATTTTCTATTGGATTGCTTTCTTGGCCTGAATGCTGTATGAATCTTGATATGTGCTGAATATTGTGGCGAAAATAGTCAAAGCAAACAAACTAAACATATGTAGCGATAATTAAGTGATTAGAATATAAACCGCACGTTATAAAGAAGGTGATTAAGAAGTGATTAAGAATGTAAACCGCGCGTTATCTCAGGGACAGCAATGTAGAAAGCAAAAGCAAGAACCTACTTAAGATGTAGATTAGCAAAAGGCAAACTAGGCTTGTATGTAGGCTTAGCCTCGTAAAAGGAACGATTACTCGGCAGTGCGGGTACGCGCAGGCACGTAGGCCCGAGAGAAACGGTCGGTGACCGGTACGGTCGAAAGGCGTGGCTAAACTTTACGCACGTCACATTGACGTAAAAGTTAGGATAAATACAGCCGCTTTAGAACAGAAAGTTAGAGAAGTCCCCGAGTCTCGAGATGTGAGTATTGGTCATAGCATTGTCTTGTGTGTGCTTGTATGTGTTTGTAATTATGTCTTAAACTCTATTGAGATTCTATGTATTTATGTCTTGAACTCCTTTTGAGATATTGCATTACGTGTGTAACTAATAACGTGTCTCTGTACGACTTTGTAAGAACCAAATAGAACCATTTGTTTGTACGTTATACTTTGTGTCTGTCTATTATGTTGTGCTTACCTCAGGGTACCTCAGGGTACCCGTACCATAGCAGAACCTGGGTACACTATATATCGACACGAGCCTCACAAGGGTACACATATGCACGAATCATTATCATTACACATATAACACTAGACAGAGTGCACTCACGGAGAGTGCATACCTCCGCCAGCGACATACGCCATATGCCATATGCCATACGACTCACGAACACACGAATAACTGACGATATACGCCAGCGTACTGACATGTAGACACTGGCTTGCTGGCTTGCTGCTCGCTCACTCGTAGCAGCCGCTCGTTGCTGCTGCTCGCTCACATGTACACGCTCGTGGGCTCGCTGGCTGACGCGCTAATATCGATCGCCCGAACACACGAACACACGCACACGAGAGCGAAAACATAACCTCCTCCAACTCCGTTGGGCGAAGGTAATAAACACCTTCCATGCACGAACTACAATCAAGCAACATATCAAAATAAATTTTTAACGATTTTAAGACCAGGGCAATTCGTGACAAATTATATTGATCAGTATTCTTTGTGCCCGCGGTCAATGGCGGACTCAACATCCCCTGTAGTCAGGGTAAAGCAATCACTTACACTTGATTACGAATTTTGAATTACCCTCTGGACCCAAAAAGATTTAATGAATGAACTACTATAATTGTAGTTTCTGAGTGGCGCGATTAAATTTCCAGACTCAAAGAAAAGGCTCATCGGTGAAATATTAATCTTTACAAGAATAGCGATACATATAATTAAATGGGAAACAGAATTATGATGTTAAATAAATGGCCATATGTGGCTATATAGCTGCAATATTTGATGAGGGAAATCTTGCAAGGGTAGACAGCTTAGGTAATATAGGATCGATAAAACACATCATTGTGTTCTGAAAGAAAGGATGATGGGCTGAATGAGGTCATTAAAATGAGTAAAAAAATGATCAATTAAATTAACATAATTTAAATTGCCCTTTAAATTGCTATTCACATCACAATTTTGCCAACCCTGGTTCATCTTTTACTTTCTTAATCTTTCTCTCATTTTGGGGAGCAAAAGAATTATATTCGTTGTTGTCGTATTTATAGTCGTGTCATTACTGAGGACTCAGGCTCTATAATCAGCCCAAAGCATAAAAAAGCAAGTCTAACATTGGGATCAATAGCACAAATGGAAACGATATTTGCGCATTTAGGAAGGTTAGCGAGGAGTCTATCTATAACTTGTTTGTTTTTACATAGCATGATCAAATTATGTGAACATGGTTCATTTGTCCGGCTTAAATTTAATTGAGAGATGAATTCAACATACTCACTAAAACTTCATCTGATGAAATGAAATCCAATGACATTATTACAAGTTGCAATAATTTGCTTTCCATAACAGGCTTCCCACAGAACAGCTACTCGCTACTGACAGAAAACATTGTTAATCTCAACCCCTCTGTGAATACTACGTGGCAATTTGTGTCGAGAGACATATTTTTATAGATCCACGTGCATCGCCAACTATGCCATTAATGTCGAGAAAACGACAAGCCGCAATTTCCAATCATCACTCGCGCTTCTCGTGATGCCAATTTATACTGAAGATGTAGACAAAAATACTCACCTCAAACGCCTCTCCATCATCGTCGCTGTTGTCGTCGTCAGTCACACTGCCAGCGTGTGCGTCATCAGCAATGTTCGATTCGACGGATTTAAGTTTGTCGATCACCGCCTTGTGAACTCCGCTCGGCTCACGCACCTGCTCCTTAGCTGAAAGCAATGCCTATCATTTATTCTCGATGCAACATTTGAGGGGAAATTGGTTCAAATGCGTATCACTTATACGGACAGACAGGACCAACATTAACTCCACGCAATGAAGCTGTCTGCAATTTTTCGTGCAACTACACCGACATCAGAGACTGTCGGAATCTTCTTTCCTAACAATAAACTCTTGACGTTAGGATGAGCAGTGAAAAAAATACACGGGGGCTCGGGGCGATTTAGCCCCGGAAATGCCAAAAAGAGCCCCCGTAAATTTGCATAGAGTTCAATGCAAACCAAATTTTAGAGTGCTATTTTCATGCATGCGAGCTTGAAAAAATATTTTTTTTTCCCTGAGGATGAGTATCATGGCAGACAATGTAATTTCAGTTTCCTAGTGAGTGACAGAAACGAGAGACATTACAAAACGAAGAAGTAAACACATTTTGTGACACAAATACTAACACTAGGTGAATGAGGAAGTGTTTAATGTTCGTATACTTTATACTATATATTATTTATTTATATCTATTATACATTTTTTGCTAATAAATTTATCGATATATGTGAAGATTCATGAAAAACTTGCATCAATCTTCTAATGACTGAAAATACAAGGTAATTTGTGTGGGTTTAGGTTTCACCTCAGTTGATTCTCAGTGAAACACAAACAAGGAATACAACCTGATATCTAAAGCAGACATTCCTAGCTTAAATATACAGTACACGAATACATGCTAAAATGTAAACCCAGTATGGTCCTATAATTACCAACTTATTAGCAAGAAACTAGGAGCCAGTGTGGAACAGCACCGTGTAACATCAATTACAAATACTCATAAACCTAAACAAATTATCTTAAGATTGCTAATAGCAACTGGGTTTAATGAAGTAATACTAATACTTACTATCTCCCAGTGGGCATTTATTCAGTAATGAAACTTCAGACTCATCCCCTTTCGTGTACTGTGTAATGAAAAAACCCCTGCCATAGAAAAAATGTCTATTAAATAACCACATTAAGATACGATTTAATCTACATAATTGAAAGTGATGCAAAAGGATTTTCTGCATGATGTTAGCTGAAGCCACTATATACGCATTAATCCTGTTATTATCTGGGCGTAATCGGTGCAATTAATTACCTAAAATATATTTTGCTGATGTTTACTTCATTACAAAACATTATTATGAATATAATATGAAGTGTTCAGTTATCTTTATATACAGGATATGGAATACACTTTTCCAAATTCAGAAATGGGTACTCAACTAGACAATATTAAGAGTATGAAAAAATCTGCAGTAAAATATTTATGCTGGTTCCTAGCTAGCACGCAGCATACTATTCATTTCAAAGGCAGGTCTTTGAAATTCAAATGCAAAAAAATTGAAAAAAAACATTATATTCTGTTGAACTGTCCAATTACAGAACCTAAATGAAAAACCCACTTAGGCAAAAACATATATGTTAGCCTACAACACTCGTTTTTTAGGCTTGTTATATTTAGCTAAATAACAGCACTTAATTTTCTCATTCTGGTTATTGATTCCGAACATGACGCACACTTCCGCAGCAACACCTGGTAAAACGTTAGCTTGGTGGCCAGGTTGTATGCGTGATACTGCTACCGGCTTTTGTAAACAGTCTAATCTGGTCATGCAGTGATGGAGTGTGACGATACACAGCTGTCACCACACAGTACTACACCCATAATTGTAAGACATTGTCTTGCTTTACACAGACAAGTTCAGAAAGGAAAACTTATTTTACCCAAATAAAAGAATGAGCGCGGGACGTTGTACAAACGTGGATGCAGAGAAGCATCAACATGCGGCTACAGTTCAGTGCTGGACACTAAGTGGGAGCATTGCCACGTATCATTTACAGAGACAAGCCACTTCAGTACGTATCATGTTCACTGCTTGCATGAGATTACTCTAAATACGAAATGGAGTCTTGATATTTAGCCAGAAACAAGAAAATTTCAAACGATTTAACTTTGTGAGTTTTCATGTGTATATATGCGAGTCAAAAAATACGAGGAGTGAACAAATCATATAAAACTCAGCATGCATGTAAAACAAGCTAACCTACAGAGCATTCAATAGTGGTAGCAAAAAGAACAGACGGGTTTAAAGTTTCTTTTAATGTTCATTGCTAACTTAGTGTAGCATTTACTCAACACAACTTTGATGTAAATGGCTTCATCTAACCAGCAAATCAAATCCATGTGGGGTAGCACAGTGGAGCTGTGCCCCATAGAGGCTGTCCAGGCCTCTTCTTCACACATGAATAAAAGTTCTTTTGAATTAGGAAGACGAATGAACTGAAATGAGAGCGGATGAGGTTCACCCAGTGAAGCTGATAAATATATACCTTGTTACGTTCAAATCTTCTACTTTGCAGTTAAGCAGACAGCTCATGATTTCCAGGTTGCCTTGCTCAAGTGTCTGCACAGCTTGTTGCAGTTCAGCAAGCTCCCTCTCATGGATTACTACCTGCCAGAACAATTGCATCCATGAAAAGAACTCGTGTGCAGGAGGATGACGTGTGCAGATACACAGGCGCATGCACGCAGGAACAGAGAGGCATGCACATGCATGTGTGTACATAGACATATGCCCACAGGAATGCGTGCTCATGTACATACACATGAACACACGCGCGTATGCACACGCACACATTCAAGTACGATCACACACACGCACACATTTACAAGCAGTCGCGCGCGCACACACGCACGCACGCACGCACGCGCACGCACGCACGCACAAATGCGCAAACGTGCACACAGTCAAGACTGCGTTAATGTAGGCAGGCATACCTACACCCATTAGAAGCCTCGAGTTTGAAAAGCCTCACCAGCATATCCCAAGTCCACATTTTCAAAAACTTATCCACGAAGAATTACATATTATCTCAGATATTATCACACCGATTAAAAATCTCCTTATCTTTAACGACATTCAGCTTGACAGAATTTGTGCAGGGTTCGATGCCAGCTGAAATGCATCATATGTCCCAATTAACTTCTCATCATCACCTCTTCCAGGCCATTTAGTAATCTAATTAAAAGCCGCGAAACCCGCGTCTGCGTTTTTTATCGGGATTTTAGGTGTCAAATATAACAACTATCAACCACATTATTAAAAATACTCCTATGATCACCCAAATCATCAGCCTTCAAAAAAAGGTAGACACTCTCTGCAGACTTTCCAAGACAAACATAGTTTTGGTGGAGCTGTGCAATGAACTCCGGAACTGCGTTCCCAAAATACTTGGGACTTTTTGTCTGGTGAACAGATGCAATCAGCTCACACTACATAAAGATTATAACATACAGTCACAAGACACACATACACAAATACGCACACGCACACGCAAGCACACACGCGCACATGCACACACACACACACACCCACGCACACACACACACGCACACACAGACACACACACGTACACCAACACCAGGAAGTTCCAATCTAGGCTAGCCGCAGAAACGTTAGTCAACTTCTCCCATTTCAACAGGAACTGACGATTGCATGTGTACAGTATGATAAAGTGCAATGTACTGCATATTCCGTTATCATACAATTGCTATCTTACATTTGTTTGATATCGGTTTAAGAGCTATTGTAAAAGCTCATGTTACCCTGTAAAGGCTGTATGTCCCGTACAGATAAAAATAAAGATTACTTTACTTTAGTTTATTTTACTGTGATCGTGTTCAAAAGGCGATTGCTGGTAGCCCTCACAATATATCCTCAATCACTCTGCATTAGTGCATCATCCCATAACGTGAAGTGATAAAGAATATATAGTGATCAAGCTAGAACTGCAGCAAAAAAATACTGCCACTATGAACAAAAACGTGATATTCTCAATAATTCCTCAACACCTTCCACTTTGTTAAAAACAATATTTTTGACTATAATTAACTTATTTATAACGGAGAAGATCATAACCACCTCGCTAACATCATACGAGAGTAAAGTAACAAAAGCAAAAATCAACAAGCAACAGTACCTCTCTCTTGAGCCATTTGTTGTCCATAATCTCCTGTCTGCAGAGCTTGTCCAACATTGAGATGGCATCCTGATTATGGAAGGGTTGAAAACTTGAAAATGTCAATATTTTTTACTAAATATACCATTTCAACCCAAATAGGTTGGTCAAAATAAATTGGCATTTGCTACATGCTCCACAAGCTACACAAGGTTGTCTTTGGCTCACACCACATACTATTGACAGCAAGTAATTGAGTGACATTCAGATGTCCACTATGTCAAAAGAAACGTCAATTTTGATTGTTTAAAACTATATTTGTGTCAGGGGAAATAAACTGGTAAAAGAAAGCGGATTGATTTCGAGATAACTCCAAAATGTTCACTGATAGGGTATCATTGGTAAATATTTAGAAGTGTTTTAAAATCAGGTAATTTCGCTTGATAAAATAAAATAAAATAAATATGACGACATCATCCCCGAGCCGGCGAAATAACAGCCGAGGACCGATCGCCACGCGCCTACCTCGGACGCGAGCTCTTTCTCCATGTCCAGCGTCTGCGTCATGTTCTGACCAATGTCCTCCTTCGCTCCTTCGAGCACGTGCTCCAGGTGACGCTGGTTGGTCTCGAAGCTGCGCTGAATCTCGGCGAGCTCCTGTTCGAGCAGCCGGATCTGCGTCTCGCGCTGCTGCTTGCCGTGGTCGCGGTATTCCGTCCAGCGGTCGATCTCCTGCTGCTCGGCAACAATCCTGCGGTCCATGTCCTCAAACTTCTGCTGCAACTCTGAGGGGGAGGATGGGGGGAGGGTGGTGGTGCTCAGAATTTATTCTTTCATTCATACGTGTATTATTAATATTGATCTGTTGTCGTTGTTGTTGTTGTTGTTGTTGTTGTGGTTATCATTATTATTGCTGTTATTATTATTATTACTATTATTATATCATGATTTTATGAGTTTATGGCAATTAATCGTCAAAATTAAAAGATCATTCCTTAGGAATTTTTAATTATCTATGTATATATGGTTTTGCTATTTGATTCAGGCCATCATCCAACCACAAATACCTGTCACAGTATATTAAAGGCCCTGAGGAATACTTTAATCTATATTATAGGCTCATCAATGAGCCCATTTCAACACTCAACATGGTCCCCGTTACTCTTCTCAGCTGTTAGCGCAAGCTGCTCTACCTTGCAGTGCATTCTTTGTCTCCCGTTCCATCTCCCACTTTTCCCGCAGGGTAGTAGCTATCTCCTCCTGACCGCGTATTGCTGCCTGCTCTAGCTCTTTATCCATGTCTCTTGCTTGCTTTAGCAGCGATTTTATCTGGTAGATATGTTCTTCCTTCATTTGCTCATTCTCCAAATGAAAATAGATTTCTTTCGGACTATATACATTGTTGGATGTTAGCTCTATCAAGCAGACGCATGTTTATCAGATGTTATCGGGTTTTAATTGTAGCACTTCACACACTGAGTTGGGGGAACCTACAAGGTTCATAGGGTCAAATATATATACTCAAGTATAAATTTATATCACAGGCATCCATGCACATCACTAAACATTCACCAGAATTATTTCTTTAATAAATTTCAATCACATCAATGTGTGGAAAGACAGACACACATGTATATGATTCATTCAGAGAAGCTTCTATTGGGGGAGTGACAAATATTGCTCTTTATAGACGTGTGTCAGTTCTTTTAGAGATGTCCACATACACAAGTCAATGCATGACAGATGCAATATGCAAACAGAAAGGTCAACAATTAGATAGATTCCAAATACCTGTGTGTAGAGGTTTTTCTTCTCTTTCTCTAGCATTTCTGCCTCAGACATAAGATCTTCAAGTGCTCTCTCTTTTATATTTATTCTGGAGTGAATGATAATGAACATAGTTATACAACATGTATTTATATAAATAAGTTGATGTACATACACATGTTTTATTTATATTTATTTACTTATTTATTTTTGATTATGCTTAATGAATTCATGAGGACTGGGTTGTGTGACTGGACATACAACAGAAGAAGAACTAGTTGAATGCTAGTGAGTTTCCCACCTGTACCTTTACCATACCCCTTTACACTTCATACATGAAGCATCATACTACAACTAATACTAAATAAAATCCATTGTTATATGGATCAATCTTATGCTTATGATATAAAATGTACTATGTTATGTGATTATTTACTCCTAATAATAGAATATCACACATCTATCTATATCATTGTGATGCTATATTTTAGTGAACTTAATAAATAAACTTACTGATATGCAAGAATGACTTCTTTAACACTTGACTGATCAGCACTCTTTCCCATCTTGCCCTGCTTTGCACTCTTCTTGCCCATCCTGCATGAATACATACAAAATTTACCAGGCTGACTTTGAAGTCATTCCATAAGCACATATACTCTTTATTTTATCTAGATAATAACAAGAACAGAGTAACCCAATGATAAACTATATCGAGGAAAAATATGTAAATTAGCATTAAGGTTTATTATATTCTGTGAATGTCTGTAAGACCCTGTTATCATTTAATAGCAATAAGTGTTAGAGACAGACAATTAACAGATCTTTTTGATGGGTCAAATCATGAGTATAGGTCCAGAAAGCCTAGTATAAAGAACGCTTCTCTTCTTGCCCCTCCTCCATATTCTCATTATCCTCTCGACCACCTTTACCTTCATCCCTCCTACCTCCTCATTCCACCTCTACATTCTCCCCTACAATCTCTCTCCACCTCTTACCTCCAATCTTCTTTCACCTCTTCTCACTTCTCATCGACCTCAACGACATGCTCATCCTGCGACCTCCCCCCCCCTTGTTAATACACCTTTCCCACTCCTTCAACACCCTCCATTTTCTCCTTACTCTCCCCTCTCCACGCTTCTCTCTGTACCACAGGTCTCTATAACCTCGCCACCTTCTTCATAGTACTCTTACTACTTCTTAATTATCTTTCACCCCTTCTTTTGTTTCTTTTCCATTCCTATCCCTCCTTAATCTTTTCCACCCTTTCCACATGATCCACGTACCTTATCCACCTTCTCCTCACTCTTTTACACGCACCCCATCCCTTGGGGTGAGATAAGACCATTGCCACAGAAGTCTACAAAGTTATGCATGGACCGAGTCCAACCTATGTAAACAACTTTACCAATCACTCCTGTACGGTTGTACCCATTACAATCTTCGAGATCAAAACTTTCTTGCTCTCCCTGATTTTAGAACAATATATCAGTGCTCGAAATAAGCGTTGTCCGGTTGTCCGAGACAACCAGAATTTGCGCCGGACAAG